AGGGGGGGGGGGGCGTGAAAGGTATATTTATACAATTTTATTATTAGTTTCAAACTACGGATTGGAAGAACCTAATCAAGAGGTTGCATCGCTCATCTCGCATGCGACGCAAGAAAGGTTAAAGAATTTAGTGGAAAAGTTAGCTGTAATAGCCGAACACAGGATAGACTTGATCAAGGTACGTTGAGTAGTACGCAGTGATAAATTACGAATCTACTTCGCATTTTTTTGGATTGGTATTAAACATAGAGTATTATATGTGATCTCAGGTGGATCCAAGGTACGAAGTGACACAGGACGTGAGAGCGCAGCTCAAATTTTTGGAAGAATTAGATAGGGCAGAGCGCAGAAGGCACGAGGAACAAGAGAGAGAATTACTTTTACGAGCGGCGAAGAGTCGCGCGAAGACGGAGGATCCTGAACAGGCGAAACTCAAGGCGAAGGCTAAAGAGGTATGTGGATCGTATGATTGCATTCGAGATTATGAGACAAGAGCATTCTCAGACGATCGTACGATGGAATGCTTATCATTCCGGGCGTCGGTACACTATTGCGTTCGTAGGGCATATGAGATTTATTAAGAATAATTTAAAACACGAGGAAAAGAAGGACGAGAGGAAAAGGCTGACCGTGGGATCTCGGTGCGATGGTTTCAGATGCAACGTGCGGAAATGGAGGAATTGAGGCAAAGGGATGCGAATTTGACGGCGTTACAAGCAATCGGGCCACGCAAGAAGCCAAAGTTGGACATGGGAGGGTCGACCGGTAGTGGAAGTGGTGGTAGCGGTTTGAACGCGTCGGCGTCGGGGTTGAATCGGCAAATGCCGATGAGACCGCGATTAAAGAGAGTGAACTTTCGCGACCTGCTTTTCCTCCTGGAGCAGGAGAAGGAGACGTGTAGGAGCACCACGCTCTATAAGTCCTACCTGAAGTGATGTTCTGCGAAGGGCAGGAACGTGAGTGACCCGCCCGAAATCCGGCGCCCAACTACTACTACTACTGCTACTACGTGTACGGTGGTCTTGCGTGAGCTGGCCTCATTGGACCTCGGAAGAGGAGATAGCGAGACTTTGCACCCAAAGGTGGCGGTGCTGCGCGAGTCGCGTACAACGGAACTCACAACAGGCCGGCCTGGTATTTCATACACATTCAAAGTAACGTTATTCGTACCATGTCGATAATAAGCTTCCCTACTGTAAATGACTGAAAATTTTTTAAATGTAATATAAATAGATCATTCTTTATTTTTCAACATGAAGTTGCATCAATGAGGCGATTGAAAAGAAAGAAAAAAAGAAAATGTGCACGAGCACATGTCCCACGGGTTAGTCTCGATAGTCTCGACGGCAAGGATGTTTCGTATGGTCATATACGCTTGACGGTATATGATGCGTGGATGTGCCCCCGAGTGAATGAATGTACATTGTCACATTATGTATATGCCTGCTGCATTGTAATACTTGACCTATACTTTTGGACACTGTAGCGCTAGTGTAATATAAGCGTACAGGTTTTGTTAAAATAGTAAAAAAAATCATATTTTTGCAAATAATAATGATAATGAAATAATAAATAATATACCAGGAGCACACTGTCCAAAAAGTATGGAATAATTTGTACAATACATTACACATAAATACTAAATAGTGATAATTTCAATGTTGGTACAACAGAATATAGCTACTCGACTATTCTCCACCATAAGATGGAATTGTTATCAGTATATTATGTTGTAATCTACATTTTCAGTGTTTATAAAAATTAGCTGTTACGTTTTTTTATTAAAGAAATATTTACAAAAGTAACCAATTACGAATATTTTTTCGAAACGAATATTAATTTATTATTTATGATATTCCTTCGTCGGAATTACGGATAGATATCTGCCGTCGTTATATAACGAAATGAATTGTGCTTCGTAAATGATAAAGTAGTCGATTGAAAGAATTAAAGTATGTACCTGATTTATCTGTAAAGAATTCTGCTGACATAAGTGGGTGCCTATTAGACTAACCATCTTGGACGATGTTAGGTTTCATCTCGCAACGCACCAATTTGCGTTGATACTTCGAGCTCTCTGTCCCTCTCACACTTGGTATCACTATCCAACCATCTCCGTCATCCAGCACCAATTCTTTTATCCACAAGCAGCATCAACCTTTCATCGTGTCCTTGTACGAAGTGACCCGATCTTTACCGAACACCCATTATCTCTGCTTTCGTTCACTCGGGCATTTAGGCCAGCGATAACAATATTGCAACAGCAGTGCATCGTTCGAGCATCTGCCGCCGTGACAAATTAACACAAAACCGTAGTTAACCCCTTCCCCACCTCCTCACCTCCCCTCTCTTGGATTATACGAAAAATCTAATAATTCATTGAGTGCATGTTGATTAACGCGAAAACGAAACAGTGCGAGATCGATCTACCTTACGTATTAGCCATTACTGCGTCAGAACGAAAACCTGTTAAAAAAAAAAAAAGAACAATATCCATCTGTAAACAGCATAAGATAAGACGTAAATAGCGTGCGACTGTATTTGTCACTTTGAACCAATTTATAACGTTATACGACTTCTGTACGCGATTAAGTTATGCCGAGGAAGAAGTTAAAAACGTCATTGTAAAACGTCTTCTCGTTTACCGTTAAAGCCAATTGACTTTCTGCTTCTACGTACATAGCCATCCGTACGCGTGTATCGTTTCTATGTATGCCTTCACTGTTAATTACGGCTTTCGACTCGCGCTTACAAGATTTCCAGCTGGCACGAGCATCGCTCAAACAATACTATGTGTATACGCGACGGCGTGGTAGGGAATTTACTCTGTCAGCATTGCGCAGGCATACACGTTAATATAGTTGGCGTGATCGCGAGCGGGGCAGAAATACGCAGGTCAAGCGCGTCGACATTACGATTTACTTGTATCCGTTTCAATTTTGTTATACTGTCAATACGCTTTTTTCCCCGTTTGTAAATTCACAACTTGTAAGATCTACGTGTTAACGTGTTGCGACGTCGACGCGTTCAGGCTTTACTGTATGGTAGGAAAATCATGCGCTTGGGACAGAGGACGGTGCTCGCTGGTTTGCCGATTAAACAAGGCGTAATGATTATCGATCCATGTAAATAATTCATTTGTAATGAGTAGTTAATCGCTCAGTAGCTCCTATTGTATTATATCATTCTTTTTCCTTCTATCTTATACCGAAGTTATACTGTACGTACGTATTCTTTCTCCGTTAGTTACTCGTGTGTTCCTTCAGTTCTAATTTGATTAACATTACCAATTTACATGAGCGTAAAATCGCAAGGCCGCAGGCTAGGTTATAGTATCTTCGTTTACTGCCATTAACGGTGGGATAAAATGTATATGTAACATGTACATATATAAATATATATATAAACGTACATACGGAGACACATCATACACGTTCGTATATACAGTATTCACGTACACATCACACATCAGACGTGTAGATAGATTATACATATAGCAGTTTTTTGGTACAGTATGCTATTTTTACAAATTGTATTGAATAAGCAGTAATCGAGAGAAAATAAAGATACGAAAATAAAATTCGACTTGATATGATCGACGGTTATTTTACTTTTTTTTTCTGTGATCGTGCTCTAAGATTGACTATGGCAAATCTATGGCACAAGGGACGCACGTGCGTTTACGCAAATTTCCATAGACACGCGCTCGCTCGGGTTGTGCATCGGGAATTGCAATTGGCCATTTCGCAAGGGGAAGGCAAACGGGCTCTCGAGGCTGCAATAACCCTATCTAATGAGTCTCCTATTAACGTGTCATTAGATGCATTCAACTACCTCGTAAAGGGCGAGACGTAAAAGCGAAAGTACTCGAGCTAATAACTAGCACGGGCTATTCAGGTATATTACTTTTCGCAGCTGGAAGACGATTCTCCGTCGGTATTTGAAGAATCGTTGAGAAAATAACGACTCGCGCCTTGAGTTGCATTCTTAGAATATTACTGGTACAGACAGTCATAAGTATATGGACTCGTAGCAGCAGTGGTACAGTGAGCACAAGAATATCTGAGAAAATGCTTGAAATCAGAGGTTATCCTTTTTTAATCGTGAAAAATAAATGACTGATTATAAATTTATAGGAACGATCAAACTGCTGGGCTAAGGTTTCACGAATGATTTTTAATGAAAATTTTAGCTCCAGCATTTTGGTTGCTGGTTTTGTGTATCGTATGAAATTGTTCGATTGGTTTCTACGTCATCCATGGTTTCACGAGGGGTAATTGTCTGCGTTTGTAGGTATAAGCTTTAAGCTATGGTATAGCGAGTAAGCCGAACGAGGCAGTCACGGTCGGGATCCTTAAATTTCAAACTCTCCTCGATGTTGACGCCGAAGGGTATTTCGCGTGTTGAGTATTGAGGACCGGGCTGAATGCCTTGGGCGATCCAGAAATGGAATATAATCAGCGAGCGCTTCGCTCGGTGGGTTCGAGGGATGACAGCCTGCGGGCAGTAATGCCGGCGGCCTTACGGATATTGAGTTCACCGTAACCATGGAAACTTGCCTAAGGCTTTTAACGTTTGTTCGCTTTATCCCTTATTTCTGCTGTTACATTATGAACGTTATGTTGCTCGGTATCCTTACGCATTAATACTTTTCTTTCGTTTTCGAATTAGTTTATTTTATGTTATTACTATTGTTTTTCGCGGTAATTTTTATATTCTTGTTTTTTCAACCTTCTTATGGCTATTTGGCAACAGTGCGCTTTTCATATTGAGGTTAAGATTTAGGAGATTGGTTGCTTTGGGTGTCGTACGATCAAGTGGGTTTTACGTAGATAGAATCGTGGAGGAAGGTAATAAACGTTTTATTTCAATCAGCACATATTTGTATGTCTATCTTAGATAACGAGACGCTTATCTGGAAGGTGATTTTTGATAATAATCGAAATGAGTTTTTGAGAATGCGACGGCGATTTGTTTAATATATTTTTTTTTCCTTTTTGTTTTATTATTTATTAATAATCCTTTATCAGCCGGGACGATTGAGATCGATGCGCGTCGCTTCGTTGTCGAAATCTTAACATTATATGTAAACATTGTATTATTATATGTAAATATAGATACACGATATTTTATTTACAGCCATTAGTACGGCATTTAAATACATAGGTACAGCTTATACTAGTAACGAAAATGAAACTTAGGAATAACGATTGGGTAGTCACTTGTGAATTTACTCAAAATCTACGAAAGATTCGTATTAAGGTTTTAGAGCTTTAGTCTTTTCATAATGCGAATCGTTAATGTATCCACGTTACTGGGTAAAAGATTATTTACAGATTGTAGCATAATTTTTTCATTATGCCCATATTACATAATTTATCCAACATACCATAAATTTGAATGACGCTTAATTCCGTAGTAAGTACACGACTTCATCTCCTTATTAATGTAAACCATCAGCATCACGTAAAACCGAAGAATGGCCAGAGTATCGATGATCGAACCCTCACGAAGTTCCACTTATCTCGGGACCCTTCAAGAATCCTTTGTAGCCCAGGACCGAATCGTAACAGGTGCGTAACACGGTGACGTCGGTAAGCGTAGAATTCCGGGCGTTAAGTTAAACCACCGCACAGGTGGTAAATTGTAGTAGCGTGCGTTCGCGAGAAAAGTGGATTAACCGTCAAAGCTCATTCTCCAATTCGTACCGGATATTACAAGACACCGGATGCGGTTAGGTCCCGACGTTCTCAAGTTCCAGTTTCTGCTCCCAAGCCGCAACGCCATGGAGATCCAATTGGTAATTTGAATTTACCGCCGACTTATTCATACGAAGCTCGGCCCACGAAGAGGTCGCTGTAGGTTTTTCTAGGTGGTGGCGGTGGCGGAGGCGTTACTGTTTGCAACGTTAATTCCGATGTGCTCTGTCAGGTGTTCATAGCTTGCCGCACGAACAAGTATTCGGAAAACTGTTGACCCTCGACGCCCCCGCCATTACTTGCTGCGACGCGGAATCCTGCATTAAGGAGCCTCGTGATGGCTTGGACCGAGTTCAATTTGCAGTAACCATTCAGGGGAAAGCGTATAACGTGTCTTGCGTCCTGCTGGTGCCAAGCTACTCCGGAACGCGCGTCTATCACCGCCTGGGTAGTTTCCGGGAAAACCTCGTCGAGGAGTGCACGACCTCCTGAGAGCATCACTCGTTCGCCTAGGTCAGGACTGACGTGCAGAGCCACGCACTCGTAACACTCGTTCCTTTTGTCAGCGTCTCGTACCGCCGTGGCGATTCCACCCCCACCGCGACCAGTTTGACTACTGATAGGCGGCGGACTTGGCGATGACATTGTAGCGCCATTTTTTATTCTTTCCTTTTTCATTTGTTCCAGTTGTCGGCACATTGCTGAAAATAAGAAAAAAAAAGTGTTATCCTCTTTGACACAGGGTTGCCTCGCATTTTTTAGATACACAGTACGAGGCATCAGGGCTTACCTGCTATGTCAAAGTATCGGGCTTCTTCGAGGAGCAAATCCAGATCGGTAAAGTTGTCCGGTATGAGGAGACGTGAGTTTCTCATGAAGTTTAAAATGTGCCGAAACATACCGCCGTCTCGGTCGATAAAGTAGTGCTGCTTCAACGAATCCAACACGATAGGAATGCTACCGTTGAAAAGTTTTGCTAGTCTTGATTCCGGATACCTGCAAAATTTTATAAGAAAGTTGTGAGGTCATCGATGAACTTTCCTCGGCTTCGTCGAGGTCAAACGTAGTTTAATTAGGAATAGATTTATAGATAGGAATGCGGCTGGACTGGAGACTCTCTGCAATCGATGGTAGGACTGGGGAACCTGAGAGAGACGACGCTATACGATTTATCCAACTAAATGAGTTTTTTTAATGTTCAGCATTTTTAAACTTGTCAAAGGATCATCTTTCACTCCTACATTTTCCATCGTAATTTTACTCGCTGTCGCGCTTCATCCTCAGACCGGACAGGTGCTCAAAATATCGGCACCTGCTTCTATACCCCGAAGTCACGGGATGCCCTCCGGCGAGCACATTTCGGCTGCAGCTGTTCTTGCGGAACTTTTCAGCAGCGATCGCGAGCTGCGTTCCACATACCGCTCTCGTAATTAACGACCTTGTGAGGTCGATTTAAATTATAGCTCATCCGAAGAAGCTGACAGTTAAAACGTCGACGGTGGGCGGGAAATTTGAAAATCCAATATCAGCCTTAGAACGCGCACAGCATAAAGTGGGATAAATGGCGGGTACCCATCGACCGTTATACGGTAGTCGAGGGTATTTCGTAGAAATTAAAAAAAAAAACAATTTGTTACTATAAAAAGTTCATTCTCCGCCATATGATTTCCGTGAAAGCTAGCTGGGAACGTGTGATTTTCATATAACTAAATTATAACGCGTTTTACACGATCACCTACTAGCCGGCGAGTAAATCGAAAGTGTCGAGAAAATATGAAATCATGCCGATACGTCGACGCCACTACACGGTCATCACGACACCGTTTCAGATAGAGACGCCTTGTCGTCGGCATCCTTTCCCCGCTCGTTAGAAAGCGTACAGGAAGGTCTTCTCGAGGACGCGATCTTCCTCTTGACCGAGAATACCGACGATGATCTTCCTAATAAGTCATGCGCCAATCTGAACGATTTCTGGAGGGTCGATTGCGTAACTCGAATGTAATGAAAATACAAGATGCGAATAGCTGTTAAATCGCGCGTTAGGGTCAGAAGAAGACAAGCACAACGATTGGCTAAGAGCTGTATTCACTTTGAGCATTTTCACGAAATTTTAGTTCACCCTTAGTCGTTTAGCTGGCGCCTGAATACGATATCGTTGAATTACACGGGAACCAGGGGTGCATCTGACCTCAAGGTCGTTCCTGCCGGGTCGAGTATCTATTTTGCATACGATATACTCAAGCGAGTCGGGTTCAGCCGGGTTGAAAAACAAAAGTCATTATACGTTAGTGCGTTATGGCACAACGAGGAATACACACGGCCTGGGGCGGATTCCCATAGGTTCCTCGCGATAACATATAATAACGCCTGCGTGCCTGGAGGCGTTAAACTTCCACGAGAGATACTGCGGGATACCTGGGAGGTACAGGACGATGCCGGATAGGTGGGTCAGTTGAAAAAGTGAGAAACCAAGGAGAACGACGGAGCAAGGGCAAAGGGGAGGATAGGTAAGGAGACGTGCCGCGGTTGAGAGAGGGTGGCTGCGGGGAGGGTGGTATCATCGAGAAATATAAAGGAGAGAAGAGAGAAATGAGAAGAAGGAGCGAAGAAAGAAAGGGCGAGGAAACGGTACCGGGGGCGGAGAAGAGAACGACGGAGCCGTGATTACCCGAGGGCATCCCTCCGAGTTCCTTCGATCCTTCGTTCATCCCATTCTTTCGTTCCTTAGTCCATTGGTTCGCCGGTTCGTATACATTCTAAGGACCGTAGGAGCCTTGCCCTGTAAGTGAGCGAAGGAGCAAAGGAGCGACCGGCCGACCGCTCAGGGGTCCGATCCCGGGTCAGATCCTCTCGCTATGGGAAAACGCTAAACGATCGGCTCACATCACTCAGATTCCGCTCTACTCTCCTATATATATATATGGGATATGTATATATATATACACACAACATCGGCGGGTGTCCGGCTGCAGTAAACCGGGCAAATTATAGGCTGGACATGACTCGTGCAAGGAAACGTCCGGACGAGATCTCCGCGAGCAACGCTAGATGGCTCGGAGCTCGTAAGCCGGAGGACGAGCATTTCGTAATTGTTGCTCGCGACCAGTGGGAGGATCCGCCAGCCTCTTTAGGATCGAGGGATACTCTCCGGAGCGGGTCCTCCGGCAGACTCAGCATCTTCTTATGCGTCCTGCTCTCATCCGCCTTATCCCCACTTACGTAATATTCTGTCCCTTCCCTTTACCCTAGCTACATAACCAAACGAAGATACGATAAAAATTGTACGTTCTTGAGGATATGAAAAATTCGTGATTTTTCTCAACATTTTATTTCTTACTTCCTGGCCACAGGTCTCACTCGGGACATCAAGAGAGAAAGAGAAAGAGAGTGTCGGAACGAACGGCAGTTGGTCGCACCGGCGCTCCCTGCATTATGAGAATTTAATACTGTCGAGCGGCGCGCGACTTGTCACGCGCTGCTGGAGATAGGTAGAGAGAGGTCGATCGGCCATTGCTGTCTAGAGTGCTTTTACCGAGTCTCTGGTACGACCTTTTGATAGAACCTAGTCAGCCTTGTTAACCTTATTTTTGTCTATAGATACGCGCTACGTACGGTTAGACCTCGAGGGGATGTCCTTAGAGCGAAAGAAGGAGATATTTTACAAAAGAATTCCTAGCTTCCCCAAAACGGATATAACGCCGTTCACCATAATTAACGTGGTATCCTACACGGAGATGATCTATGAAGAAATCTTTTACTATAAAAAAAAAAAAAAAAAGAGAAGCAGGTCCACTCAGTAAAGGATATACATGTGAATATGTGATATAATCTGCAATGTAATCTAGAGTTACTTTCAACAAAACAATAAGGTCAACAGCATGTAATGAGGGAGGAAGGCGCAACGAAGCGTATAGCCACGTTAACAGTGGTGGAGGCGAGTAAGGCCGGTAAGGCAGGTTCATACGATCTACCCAGCCATTTCTTTTTTGCACGATATATCCTGCAATAACTCGGCTTGGAGATATCCTCTCTTGCGGTGTATTACCCTGGTATAGTCGCCTCTTATCTAGTTACCAGTCGGTAGTATCGCGTAATAACGCAGACCCGTGTTATACGGACTCGATTAACGGCTACGCCGTCCTGATGACTACGAAATCCTAATGGCAGTTGATACGTAACAAGCGAAGGAGCTCGACGTGATTTTCATCCACCTATATCCTAATATTTTCTGTTCATGTCTGTGGAGGGCACTCGATGAACTCTGTGGTCGCGTTACGGCTTTATCTGCGCGCTGATTAACTCCAACACTTTATTTATACCAGGCCATTCTCGGCGAAGCATTACGGAACGGAGGTAGATGGATAGAGATATAAAGACATCCTGACTAACGTGAGTCGCATTACTTGCGGAAAACGTGCCAACCGCAAATAGCCCTTGGACACTGCCGAGCGCGGTTATAACGGTTGCCGATGCGTTACGGTCTTGCGGAGCACGTATCCCGGAGGTTTCCTGATGATGATGTCCTGGAGGAGGACGAGGATTATTCACGCGTGAATAATACTCCCAAGCCTTTAGGATCGAAGAGATGCTGATGAACTTACTTGGTGAGGGTCTCAAGGGAGGAAGTGTATATCGTGCCGCCGACGTCTATGTGAACTGGCGCCGTGTAACGTGAGGCTGCTGCTACGCAGGGTATTCCCGTCATCTTCTGGTTGTAAGCCGGTGCCGCGGGTGCCGGTGGTGTCGGCGACGAGGAGTTCGACATCGTGGGCGACGTCGCTGGCGAACTGCTTGGCGATAGCAATCTGAGAGAAATACTTTCAACATTAGTTACCATTAGATCGGCCTGGCACTTTGAGGACTTGGAGACTTAAGATGCACGATATGTCGTGCAATATGCAGAATACATGTAGAAGATGAGTTGAAAAGTTTTCTATATACTGTAATGCAGTGCATCGGTGCTTACCTCATTTTAATTTGAGCGCTAGGGAACATATTGCGCTGTGACGTCAGTTCCGCCTTCGCCTCCTTTACATCGGCCTCACATTTCCGCCTGAAAGTACAAAGGTCACAGATATGAAATTATTCGAGATTTAATTCATAGTCGAAATCGATATTCTCTTTGTGGACGTGGTAAATGTGTGTTTGAGATATTGGAAAAAAATGTTTATTGACATTTTCGAAATTTCAAATGTAAAGATTGCTTCTTTTCATTCCCCTTTGGAAATTATTTAAAATTCAGTAGAATCATTCAAATTTAAGTAAATAAAGTGTTGACTGTTATGACGTGTCATATATTAGTGTTTTAAGTAATTTAACGGATTTTAGTAGGCGTTAATAAATCTTAAAGTTTCGATGAAATTTTACTGCGTGGGATCACGCGATGTCTAGATTTCTATAGCGTGATATCGACTTTGGAGTTTGATGTGAAAAAAAAAATCAGACGATCCGCCAGTCGAGTTCGAAATTTCATTTGGATCTGGAAAATATGTTAATTTCCAAGATTTCATATTTTCTTATCATCCCCGACTAGTCGTTTCTTGGAAACGTCGAGAAATCGTCATGCTTTAACTTTCATATGTATATTAATAAGGCAATTAGTGCTAAAACATAATGTAGCAGATACCATGCTCCGGGACCAGGATGGGTAGATGGGAGAATAAGGATTAGCTATGAAAGAGACGTATGAGGTAGCTGAGGTGGATGAAGGTTCTTGGCGGTTGCCGTAGAAGCGGAAGTGGACCGCGAGGAGGGCTTAAAGAGCTTCCAACTCATTTCCCGGTTGTGTAAACACGAAAGAGCTGTGCTTCCGCCAGGGTCCGTTTCGTGCTTGCACGCACCTGGGTTCTTGTCCTCCGTTACATTTCTGCCCTTTCATTTCACCGGATGAAATTCAAGGTACGAATTACAGAGACTGAAAACCCGTCGCTGTGTATCCTTTGACCTCGGTTTAGCTAGCAAATATTAGTTGGCGATATATAAAGCGATTTAATTAATATCACATAATCCCCCAAGAGATAACAGCATGACAAAAGGTTTTTCCCCTTGTGTTTTGAGGTCTTCGTTTAAGAGTCAAAGGAACGTGTAGACACGTCTTCGCTGAGCATTCCGTATACGAATGTACGTAATCATCCTGGGCAAGCCATAATAATATATTAAAAGTAAGAGTTTCAGATTGACTAGATTAAAATGGCAGTGGGACATTGAATAATTGTCCATGTTAATGGGGGAATGCGTAAGTCGGTAGGCAGTGGGTGAAGGAACTAGAAAAATCAGGATACAGGGCGAGGCGATGCGTCGAAGCGGAAAGGCCGCGTACGCCAGTCGCGTGTCCTGGATGTGTATGGAAAAAGAAATAAATAAGGGATAAAAAGAGAAGAAACGAAAATGAACTCGAACCGGGCACACCGAGTACGGGATGTCTTGGGGACCTTATAGAAAGCAGCGGGTCTCTCGAAACCGGACAGAGTTCGATTTAAGACGCGCCCCGAAGTTCCATCGTGGCAAGACCAAGGGTTTAGCGTAGCCATTATTTTAAGCAGTGAGACTGGTTCTTCCATAGGATCGCCGCAGGAGACGCAGAATGCGCGTCTGGGCCATAGGCTCTCGCGGTGCGGAGGTCGCGAGTCGAGTCGATCTGCCGATGGTGGTGGCGATGCGAATAGCGCGAGTGAGGGCGGCTACGGTGGCCAGGATGGCAAGAAAGCGAGACGGCAAGAACCTGGGCCCAACGACCACGACGGCTACGACGGCCATGACGGCCGTGTGCCTTGAAGGCAACCAAGCCCAGGTAGACGCGTCCACCGCCTCGGGCTTTGGCGTCGACCATATATGTATATTCAAGCAACCAGCGCCAAGTCGCATTCCGTATGAATGCTGAGGACACCCGTGGCCGGGGGCTACTCGTGTCCAAATGCAAATTCGAAAATGCCTCATTTTGTTCTCGAATATTATTTAAATCCGAAGATAATACCAGAGCTTCTTCGATAATGGCTTAGGTACAACAGACTCTTCTTGATTTCGGCTTCTATTCCCGGACTGATTGGGATACGCGACCGATACCCTTTGGCATTATTCCTTGGTACATAGATATAATTTTGACTTTTTTTTTTTCATTTCGTTGCATCAACATGCAATCGCGCATGGAATCGTTATAATAATAATTATTCTTTTCAAAATTTCTCTTGGCTGCCATTTACCATGACTGCCATTAAACCTTATTCAAAGTTCGCAAGGCGTCCTGGTTTTCAGATGAGATTCTATCCAGACTCGTACATACAGGATGCTCATGGATAAGGTTATTTGCATATGTCATGCTACGTTATTAGTTACCAGAACGAGATGAATGCCAGAGTGTTTAGATCTTGATTTTAACCCGGTACCCACCTTGCTTTGCATTTCCATGAATTTATTCCATATGCACGACGGTCAACGTATTCCGTATCAGTTTATGTGTTATCGTACAATTGTAACTACGTGTATCTCCTTTTCGCACTGGGTTTTACCGTTCTCCGGAAATTATTCCTAGGTCTCTAGAATGTCGCTACGTAACACACATACGTGTATCAGGAAAAGAAAAATCTACCTCTACCGGCAACCCAGCAGTGAGAACGAGCCACTAGGTTCTTCCCGGTCTCCTTACTGACGGTAGCCTCAATTAGAATAACGAAGCGACTTCTTGCTAACGAGGAATCCTCAAGAGAAACGTACGAGTTTGAATATCGCGTGTCTCCGCCGTGCAATAGTTACGCCACTGTCTGGCATGTCTCTTATAAACGATGTAAAATCGAGTGGGCGCTGTAGCCAACGCGACTTGCTGCCAGGACGCATCTTCCGGATGGCGGTAAATGCTTCTCGCTTACGAGGAATCATCGTAAGACGATGTGTATCTTTGAGTCTCGAAGATTTATTCATCTCCGTGAACGCAGCCACTACTTCTATTCGCGACTGTCTGATGCACCGAAGTCACGATAGATAAATTCGATCGGACAATAATTTTATGTTGATATATGCAGACGGTATAACGAAGTAAAAAAATTACAATTATCATTTATTTGGGGAAAAAAATAATTTTTTTTCGAAGGGCCATCTACTTGTGAGTTTCAATGTAACAAAGTCCCCTAGCTTTTTACTTTTCTGAGTCGTGATTATTAATTAACACGCAGAGGACACGTCTTGGCGAAAGGGTGACGCGACTTTCAGTTTTGAAACGTATAACTTCCAGGTAGCGTGAGGCGACTTTACGGTGGCTATAAAGTTAACCAGCCATTCGATGAACGTTTCCGACCATGCTCATTAAATCCCGATAAGTTTTATCCAGCACGATCGGCTCGATTCACGGCACGTGCATAGCTTTTTGCAAACCTCTCCACACACGGCATCGTTATACTCCTTTCGATACAGTCAGGGATACCCTTTGCCATTATAGTGAATTTACCGCCGAGAGTTTTAACCCTGGTATCGCAAGCAGCTATTCTTACCAGCTTTATATGTAGCTTGATATCTCGTTTTTTTTTTTCAGGTAACAATTTCAGGGTTAAGTATCTTCTACATATCTATACTTTCATACGTACAGTGTATCTTCGCTACATTGAGCGATGATAATAAAAATAAAATTTCTCTAACCCATTTGAACCATTTACGTAGTACGATCATCTACGGTCATTGAATACATTAAAGACGATCGTGAGAAGACGAAGGAATGTGGATATTTTGGGATACGAAATTTCCTAAAAGGTAGTACAATACAAACAATTAGATTCAAACGTCATATGAATAACGAGTATGACTTTTATATTTGGCAATGAACAATTAACAAGTACCCACTGTATGGGCTCGAAGGTTCATCCTACGTTATTCAGCTTTCGGATGTCGGCTATGTATATTCAGTTTCCACAAGTAACTTGTTAAGGTTGCTAATTGAAGATCAGTCAAGGAACGGCGCGGCAGTTATTAGCGAGTTTAATAAGTAGAGATGACTCGTCCGTTAAGAGGAGGGTAGAAGAAGTAAAAGGAAGGCAGACTGAGTCGACGGTTCAGGAGATGTACAAAAGAGAGAGAGAGAGAGAGAGAGAGAGAGAGAGAGAGAGAGAGATAAGAAATATAATGCAACGAGAGAAAAAGAGAGGAGGGATGTCCCTGCCAAGTGCTCTTAAGGAGCTTGTGATCGTACAGGTTAGATGTTCCGTGTGCGAGGGAAGGACGCAGGGATCGGCGTGCAGAGATACTCCGAACTCTGAACGATAGTGGATGGCTGGAGCGCGTGCCGACCGGTTTGGCTTGCGCACACACCATCGACTGAAAGAGATACGTAGGTAGTCACAAATTTATTGATGGTACGGCGTGGGTACGAGCTGCCAGTATAAGCCAGTGTCTACAGTCCATATAGCTATGCAGTGAACGTAGCGTCGAGTGGTCGGAGATCCGATCGTCGTTACACCGGTTGGATGGCATCGATCGGTCCCATGATGATCGTTATAACGTTCCCAATTTTCGGCATGGATGCGACCTCTATTAAACGCACCTCTTTACCCCACCTGGTATCGGCTTGGCATCCTCGCAGCCTCGTGTCAACGGGATTTCGACAAATAAGTTGTAAGCGAACGGCCGTTCGATCTCTGCGGCCCACACGGTAAAAGTCGAAAGGCCGCATTGCGTTCGGCGCGCTTCGGGCGCGGCATCGATTTGCATTGCCGCAATCAGGAGAATGCTTTAAAACTTAAGAATGTTAGATATAACTTGAGCGATGTCATAAAGGTCGAAATTTTATCCTCGATGAGATTCTTTTGATTTTAGGATGGTGGCGTATACTTCGTTAGTGGTACGAGAATGTTACGAGCGTCAAATCTCGTGGGATCGAGTGGCTACTATGTTTTATTAGAGAAAGCCAAGTGGTATAAGGGGAGTACGGATAAATTCCATTCCGTCGATTTTCATATTTTCCAGCGTAACGGCTCGTGGCAAGTCTAATATCTCGTGCCTAGTGGAATTACGCTGAGCGTCGGTTCACGCGAATGGCCAGGTAGGTAGGTGAAAATAGATAGATAGGTTTCTGGACAGATGTGTGGAAGGTAGGTACCAAGCTTGTACGCTATGACAGTAAACGAGAGTTCAGTACGTGCATATGCAAGCTAGTAGATATGTAGCTTACGTAGTCAGCCTGGCAGGCCATGTAACGAGTACGGGGGCACCACTCCCGACACGCGCCAATGCATGTCTTGCTCCATTTCATCCTCGCCCATTCCCACCACTTACTCACCTACTTACTTGCGGAGACGGAAATTCTGTCAGTTTCAAACGGCGCAAGCCTACTCGAACCAGAGTACGGTAGCCGTCCGGGGCTTTCGTCGGCAGACGATCTAGCCGTAGATAACGGGTTACACGTCGATTAATCCAAGAGCGATGCGTCAAACATAACCTAGCCCAAGTTACCTTACCCAGTTTAGTACGTCCTTGCTAAGTCACTAGCGAGTAAAGCGTGTCGGGGATTTAATCAGGCTTAAGTTGACACGTAAGATAATCTGAAAAAAAAAATTCAAGCGGCCTTGAAGGATTTTTTACGACTTCAATATTTCCATTGAAAACGACCTGCAACTCCCGGGTCAATCTCGTCATAGAGGCTCTTTATGGTTTTCGGTATAAAACGAGAATATTTACGTAAAAATTTTGCCTTGGGTCGTCAGGTTCATGAATAATTTTCGTCCGCGGGAGACTCGTCAGCCGTGGGCCTGTTTGCCCGAGGCGCTCTGTTCTAATTACGGCAACAGCGGAGCGCGTCAGTGCCCGGGGCCAGGTTGCCCCAGGCAATTCGCAGCCCCCATTCCTTCCTCTGTTCCACAAGCTCCCTGGCTATTCTGCTTGCCCCGAACAACCCGTACGCTTCGTCCTGGCAAACGCGTTTGTCCGAGCGACGGATATCCTCTGGATATCTACTCTCGCATATCGCCATCACTCTCGTCCTATGTCCCTGTCCTTTATACTCTGTTCACTGTACACCTCTCGCAGAGACCAGGCGGATTTATCGTTCGGGGTCTGAAGAATTTTTATGTCTCTTTCGTTTCAATTCTAGCCTCGGCAATTAACTGATGGTCGTATATCATTATTGGCCATGCGTCCTATCGATTTATTGACACGATCTTATACATACGAGATATATCTATATATGTAGACGTATAAACAAGCAGGTAGTCGCACATCACCCTGATAGGTGAAAAATGATTTTAAACCTGGTGCAACCTGTGCTAATCTTTATTTTACTGACTGCATTTCATCATCGCCACAATTGCATGTGCATCTGCGACTGTACTTTTCGCTATTGCTTATATTTATTCGTTAGGTATATATATGTATGTATATGTATGGTACAGTGTCAGGGATCGGATAACGTGGGTAATAATTATTGCGAATGGATACTCCTAACGAACTGGAACACGGGATCGTCTCGCTTTCATAGATCAGAGATTTGCAAAGGAAGAGCGAGTCGTGCTGGTAGCACGACTTATCTTTCAGTGCTGGTTTTATTCTAACTTGTCGTTTCTCCGAGTTCTGTTTTAGCCTCTTTCTCAATTCAATCTCCGTCCTCCTTATTCGCGTTACACCGTACAATCTTGCACTTTATCACAAAAATCCGTTGGCAATTATCCAGAGTAACCGTGAAGCCGAGATCGACTCTCTCGGAAACTATCGGGGAATCGATTCGTGGCTCGATATTAGAGAAACGCTGTGGCGCGCGAATGCAAAGAGCTGGGGGCCACGTTGGATTTACCTTCGGTAAATCAATGATCGGTCGTGGCAATTCCAAGGTGTGTTACTGGTCTCTCGAGCATAATAGGATTGTCCACGTAGAAAGTCAATCCATAGTTGCGGTTCCTTTTTACGCCTAAATACCGGTTTGTCCTCAGGTGCTTTGAAAATCGCAGTGCAAATCGTTATGAAAAATAGAGGTAAAGCGAGTGGCGGTAGGCGTGGGTGGGGTGGTGAGGGAAAATAAAAGCAAAAAAATATATAATTCAACAGACAAAAGAAAAGGTGGCAAGAGAGGTGGGGGTGGGGGTTGACCGTGATATTTTGAAAAACGCGCCGCCGTTCCTGCAATGGCCGCTCAGATATGAAAAAGGCAGTCTTTCCAGGTTGTTGACTTTGTTCGTTGTGTTTTACGCTGTGGTATTACCCAATTATACGCTCTACTCGAGTATAGGATGAGACGTACGCGGTAAGTGCGGTTACCGCAGTTAGCGCAAGCGGGAAGGATAATTATGACGGAATTGAATGAAAACCGAAGGTGTACGTTGAGGTTATAAACGTAATAAATCTATGAGTAATGAAGTGAGACGTCGTGAATTCAGATAATAGAGTCGTCCGAGCGTCAGTTAATTAATGCATCTAATAACTTTTACTCTTGATACGGTACGCAACAACGGATCGAAGAAATGACCGAGGAGAATGTAAGCCTGTCTGTTCTCCTCAGCTGCGTCCGATGAAAAACATATCCCCGACGAATAGCTATGTATACTATGAGTACTACCTACCACCGAGTCCAAACAGACAGCCTAACACGAAGGTTCATTCCAATAGGATTACTCACAAACCGCATTTTAAAATTGTCTGGCTTATTCCGGTAAACAGCCTGAATCACAATACACACACTATACGTGACTTCTTCGGTATGTATATACGCGCCGAGGATAATATTCTACGTCACCGTAACAACATCGTAGACAGTCTGACAAACGCAACACTTAAATTCAATCGCAATTAAGATACCGTCAATCAGTTCTTGCAGAGGGATTAACTGAACGTGATCTGTCGTTCGAAATTACATTGAGCAAAGATCATCTGGTATGAAACGATAAAATAAATTAAAGCGTATAGTATAACCGTGGATTAGTGTTGGACCGATACGAGGTAAGGAATTAGAAAAATACTAACCGTTTCTGACACGTGGGCTCCAGGTTGACGGTTGTTCGGCTCGGGTTCACGGCTGATTGTTATGATGTTCGTAGGGTGCAGGCAGGAGCCACGTAGGGATTTTAGCACGAACACCCTAAAGTAAGGTATGCTACCAAGGTATAACGAGTGACTGATAATATTCACTGGGGCCGAATGTCTCGGCTTTAAGTCACACACTGCCACGTGGTCCTCGCGTGCGGGGTTGCACGAGGCGCGCGCTACGGCTGCCTTGCTGGAACTGTGTTCCATCTCGGCGCCTCCGTGCCTGTCGCTCCCACCTACGGCGCAGCGCTTTCAGTCGCACCCCGGAGCTTGCGAGGCCGTGCGCGCTCCTCCTCGCCTGAAGGTTATCCTACACTGTCGCCGTTTTACCCTCGGCCGTTATCGCCACGCTCGGCGTTTACTGTACTCGCGAGGCGCACGCTCGCGGCGAACCTCATTCGTGCCGCCGAACTTTGCCTAATAATACCGCGGGGCTTAATTGGACCAGTTTCATTCGGCGCCATATAGATATTTCGGAAGCGTTCTTTGGACTTGGGGAATACGCAAGAAAATTTTCGATGGGGTCTGTCTCTCACTCGTAGTAGGTATATACCTTTGGTATACCTTTGGCAAGTGGAAGAATTTGTTTTGCGTTACGACAGCCTTAAAGCTGCGGGATCTTCAAAGTGGTGCGTTTCGATTTACTGACAGTTGCAAAGGGGTACCAGGAATATTAGGAACATTTTACTTCAATTCGAGGGATATTACTGCATAGAGAAACGTATTGTTTAATGACCATGGTGCGGATTAACAGTTGCACGATACCATTGTCCATTGCCATTGGGAATAATGGGACTGTTGCGAGTCCTGATACAAAGAGAACCGAGCTTGGTTCTTCGGTCGTATTCTAGAAGCCCTTAGGCCAAACCGGCCGCGGCCGACAACATCATTCCAAGGTGCCCCCAGCATTTCCAGACCCATCGAACGCTGTTGGCTGCATACGTAAACGTTAACTTCCCCAGTACAAAGTGACGAATTCGTCCGGATTCTAAATATGATTTTGCGTCAGTGTTTTTCACGATTTACTCAATTTCCCGTCAGTCTCGAATGATCAATAATTCATTTATAAATAATTATCACCATCAATGAATCTACGATTTTACACCATAAAGAAATACATAAAAAGATATATCTCACGATATACGAAATAACTTTTATATTCCATAAGCCTGTATCCGGCTGTACGTCGACTCGTTTAAAAAAAATTTCAGAAATATCAACTCACCCCACGATTGCCCTGGGCAAATAAGGGTGCACAGGGTGTTCAAGCGAGGGTCGTGATATTGTTTCCTGAAAATTTTTTCAAACTCACGTACACCAGCGTTAACCAGGATAAGGAATCGTACGGCGAAAAGGATGTTCCCGTGGGGCGGGTGGGGGT